GCCAAATACTAGCACCTTGATATTGAACTTCCCGGCTTCCAGAGCAGTAAGATAATAAATTCCTGCTCATTACAAATTATCTAGTCTCCAGTATTCTGTTATAGTAGGAAAAATAGGCTAAGTCTGTGGTGGTATTGTGTTCCCCAAAATATTGTGTACCCTAATAAATTTATCTGGGGTCAGAGACAGAACAGCCACTAGATACAAAGGCTATAAAATGGTGGCACACACACCTTTAATCCTAGCATTCCAGAGGTAGAAATCCCTCTGGATCTCTGTGAGTTCATTGGAAACAGCCAGGCATAGTGACACATGCCTTTAATCCTAAGAAGTGAGCCTTTAATCCCAGGGAGTAGTGGTAGAAAGCAGAAAGGTATATAGGGCGTGAGGACCAGGAACTAGAAGCATTTGGCTGGTTAAGCTTTCAGGCTTCTAGCAGCACAGATCAGCTGAGATTCATTCTGGATGAGGACACAGAAGCTTCCAGTCTGAGGAAACAGGACCAGCTGAGGAATTGGCAAGGTGAGATAGCTGTGGCTTGTTCTGCATCTGATCTACCAGCATTCACCCCAATAACTGGCCTCAGGTTTGATTTTATTAATAAGAACTGTTAAGATTCCTGCTACATAAGTCAGCCAGTGTTCACATGGACTTTTTTCATTTCTGGCTGTTTATACGAACTCAAAGTAGATAACTATCCAATCCACATCAAGTTGAACACAGACAAGGGAAGTCCATATGCATGAGAAATTTACAAAACAAAACACTCAGTTAAGCTCCATCAAGATGCTGAGGTTTAAAAAGTGGCAGCAGTTACTATAAAATGACACAGAATAAATAGGGTGGGTGATCAGCTAAGAAACTTCTGTGGTGTCCTCTAGGCTCAGCCTGATTACTTAGAGAAGTCTGTGCAGGCTTTACTCTAACAAGCTAGTCCCATCCTACTTCCTCAGCAGCTCCCCCCGCAACTATGTACAAAGCATGGATATGTAAAGTCCTGCGCAATTGGAGCTGACAGCCGCATGTGGGACAGCCTACACACCCGAAGGAAGGACTTCAGTATTGACGATGCAAAGCAGCACCCAGAGGAACTACTCCGAGGAGTACCGGGTAGTAACAAGAGAGCCTCGCCAAACCATCTACAGCTACTTCAAGATACCAAGTCACCTGCAAACCACCTACTTCCACACAAATCTAGTTGAAAAGACCAAAAAGAAGAAGAAAAAGTCAAATCTCTAGAAACAAGAGAGGTTTATTAGCTGGAGCACTAATGAGGACACTCACTTTAAAATGTGGAATGACACCTCTGTAATCTAGCTCCAAGGTCATCTGCTGGGATGGATTCCAGAAGTTCACCTGACCCCCATAAGCAAATCCAAATTCACGATGTAAAGCTGCTTAGTATCCCTACCGTTCTATGGAAATTCACGTTGTCACTGAGGCGTCTCCAGTACTTCTGGGAGACAGTACACTGTGATCCCCACAGCACTGACAGGGAAGGAAATAAACTACCAAAGCCATCCCACACTAATGACTACACTTAAAAGCATTTCTCCATCTCCTTTGTGCTCCTCTGCACTTCCTTCCAAACAACTGTGAAGCTGTTGAATTTCCAGATTCTGTGCTGCAGCAGGAAGAGCCTAATGAATGCTTCAAACAAATTCATACCCCGTATCACCACAGTGCTGTGCTTGCGAGAGCACCTCACATTAAAGGTAGCTCTGTGTTCTGGAGAAATTCAACCACCTGAGTTTATTTCCCCTTTACTACCTCTCAGAACTGCTTAGGGAACAAATAAATAGCCATGTGTAGACCCTCTACATTGTATAATAGTGGACTTTAAGGTAATTTCATGCTATCAGCTAGCCTTTTTATAATAATAATTTTATTCAAATTGTCATAAAATGATTTTTATTACAATAGACAAATGGTATAAAATAACTATTTACATACATATCATATATTTTATAACTTATAATGCACTTTTCCCATGTACTATCTAATTTAGACTTCATGGGCCACTCTCTGAAGCATTACTATTAGCTCATTTTTATAAAAGTGGGGATATGAAGTGGCTTCTTCACCCCACTAGCAAGTGCTATAAGTGGTAGAGACAAGACTTTAGTCTTTTTGCTCAAAATCTGTTACAAAATGGAATATTGTCTTTTTTTTTTTTCAAGAAAGGACTTGGGTATAGATGCTCTGGCTGGCTGGGAACCTGTGATGGCCCTACCTCTGCCTCTTGAGTATTGGTATTGCAGTGTGCCCCTTGCTTTGGAAAAATGTCTTATTTCTCAACTCTCAAGAGGGACCACAGCTTTCACATAGACCTACTAAGGAAGTTATTTATCTAAGAATTCTCGACACTGACCTGAGTTTCCCTTATTCCGTCTCCTAACTTGCAAGGTATTTCTCTACTCTTAGCTTCTTAACTCTCTTCTAAAAGTGCTTATTAGGGAAAGGTAAGGTAACTATAAACATGCAAGTGTAGTTGCTACATTTTAACTTATAATAATGTTAACAGCATACTGATAAAATAGACAGGACAACATTATGTATCTAACTTCAAAGCAAAGTTAACTCACAGATTCAAAACAAAAGGAAGTATGTAAACATTTTCTGAATTGTTTTTTATACCTTTCTTTACCCATTCTAATTTATAAGATTCCCACAGCACTCTCTTTTTATTGTATCTTGTGAAGAACTGAAGGGGACAGCAGTTATTACTACATTTCAGTTTTGCCATAATGAAGATCCAGTCACATAAATACAGGGGCCGATTACTGGGAAGTAAAAACAAAAGCAGGCTTGTACAGCTGGCTACTGAAGTGTCCCTGTGAGGCAACAATGGGACTGGGCTGCAGTTTGGCGCCATCTGGTGGCAATTGTCTATCATAGTGTTAATATCTAAGGATCAATCTAAAACCCTATGGTTGAATGGAGCACCTAGGTCCAATCCCATCAATTCTGTGGTTAGGTGGCATGATAGTTAGTTTTAATTGTCGACTTGACAAAGCCTAGAACCACTTGGGAAGAGTCTCCAGGAGCCGCTGTCTAGATCAGGTTGGCCAGTGCAGCAGACTGTCCTGATTGCCTTCATTGATGAGGTAACCTTGCCAGAAAGGGAGGCACCATTCTTAGTTTAGGGCGCTGAACTATGAGAGTGGAGAAAGAAGGCTGAGCATACCTTTATTCTCTCTGCACTCTTAACTCTGGATGTGAGTAGTTGCTTATGGTCCTTGCTTTGACTTCCCAACACAATGGACTTGTGAGCAGAAATGAAGCTCGAATGGATGGCATCCATTTTATTGTGGTCATGGGTCCAGAACAGCCCTGGGGATAAGCGAAGCTGCTTCCACCTTTCCTTCTTCAGAAATGACCGTTGTCTATTTTCCTACACAACTTTGCCATCCTGCTTTTACTATTCTGGAGAGGTGATACTGTTTGTTCTTGTTTGTAGATGGAAAATCAGGAAACAGTCACAGTGATTATTTGGCAAAGTATTTGTAGTAATGTGGATTGTTTAGGCATAATCATGTACTGCTGTGGGATGTTCTGTATGTTAAATGTGTTGCTCTGATTGGTTAATAAATAAAACACTGATTGGCCAGTAGTCAGGCAGGAAGTATAGGTGGGACAAGGAGAGAAGAGAATTCTGAAACAGGAAGGCGGAATCAGAGAGACGCTGCCAGACGCTGCCATGAAAAGCGAGATGTAAGGTACCGGTAAGCCACGAGCCACGTGACAACTTATAGATTAATAGAAATGGTTTGATTTAAGATATTAGAACAGCTAGCTAGGAGCCTGCCATGGCCATACAGTTTATAAGTAATATAAGCATCTGCATGCTTATTTTATAAGGGGGCTACAGGACTGCTGGGGATTGACGGGACCTGGAGAGAAAAACTCAAGCTACAATGTACTGTATTGTAAAATGATAACATCAATTTTAAGGTTAGGTGAACAAAAACCTACAAAATGCATAACAGACATGAAGTGAGCCAGAAAACTAAATAGGACTTATTTATAACAAGAAATATTATCTATGCCACAGTTCTCATGTGCAGACGGTTTCTCTTGATGAGGCGGGACTCATGAATTCACTACTCTATTTGTAAGTCCCACAGATACATCCAATGGAACTAAATTCATTATGTGTTTCTATTAAAGCCTTATATGTTTCTAATATTTTCACAACTCTAATTTGCATTCTCAGCTTCTTCTTACCCCTTAACCCACCAGGTCTTGCTGAGTCCATCCTAAACACTGTGCCAATCTGGGCTGGGGGAGACTTTGGTTGGTAGGATTTGCCTTGGAAGCATGAGCACATGAGGGAAAGGAGGGAGGGAGGAAGTGCAGGAGGGAGGGGGCAGGGTGGAAGGCAGGAAGTCTTCAAGTGTCACAGTAACTGTAAAGTTAATGTATGAAAACAACTGCCACTGAAATAAGTAGATTTATTTACTCTTTTTAATTATTAAGTAATTAATTTTACATCCTGACCACAACCCCCGCCCCCCAGTCATTCTTCTAATGCCACCAATTACTAGAGGAACCTAGCATACAACCACTCAAAAGTAACTGTGTGAATAAAACTATTCTTCAATGTTATCTAATAGAACATCTTTCAGGACCAGTGGTTAAATGTACACTACTCTTCCAGTTTTTACAAAGATCCATGAGAAATGCTTGGTAGAACTACTGCTGTCTTAGTACCTTCTAAATGTTCTCTTACTCTTGTCTTTGGTCTGAACTAAGGTAACAGGAAACAGACACATTATCCAGTAAAAAGACCTGCAGTAGAATAAGCTCTGTAGTCATTAGTTATCAAAGATTACAGAATTTAACATTCTCATTTGTATTTATAACTATTAAAAAAGACATCTCAGATTTTCATTTTCATGCCAATGAATTGGCATTTCATTTCAGTAAAATTCTTATAATCTCCAAACAAAGAAAAATATAACTTGCTCAGTCACATTATCTCTCTCTCTTTTTTTTACCTGTTTTCTCGTTCATACATTTCCCTAGAGGCATTTCGAAGCTGATCAATTTCCAGATTAGTTTTCAATTTGATTTGTTCCAGTTCATCATGTAGTTTATTCTCATATTCTGTTTTATAATGGTCTCTGCAAAGACAAAAGGAATAGTCATGAAAAAAAATAGACTATTGTTCTCCAGGAAAGATTTTATTATTTTATATGAAGTATGCTTTTATAGCATGTTTAGAAAACTTAGCCGTTGTAGATGTGTTTTAAAATTTCTAAAACCCAGCACTGGGCTCTTGACACATCACTACTGTTCCATAGGCGTCATTAATTACCAAGATAGATATCAGTAATCCTCTTGGGTGCTCATCTTCAATGTCATTTCAATGCACAGGGCCGAGGCCTGAAGACTGATGCACATAGATGTTGCATGTTGAGACAAAGAATAAAAATGTAATACCAAGATCATTCTGACTTTAGAAAACATTTCCTTTTCTGCACAGCAAACAGAGCCACACATGAATTTTCTTTTTTTTTTTTTTAAAGGTAAAGTCAAAGTATTACATAGGGCATTAGTAGCAAGCACAGCACAAACCAATCAAACAGGCTGGGGAAAGTCAGAAGTGTTGAACTGTTAAAGGCAAAATTTTAACTTGAAAAGTTTTTACTTTCTTCTTATGTGTATGGATGTTCTGCCTGCATATATGTGCACCACGCGCACGCAGTACTCACGAAGGCCAGAAAATGGGGTCAGATCCCTGGAGACTGGCCTTACAGATGTGACACAGTGTGTGAGTCACCATGTGGTGCTGGAAACTGAACCCAGCTTCTCTGGAAGAGCAGCCAGCGCTCGCTCTGTAGCAGGCTTTTTCTTTCTGGGCCACCAACCATCTCCCAAATCAGGACAGAGATTTCTTTTTAGTTATGAATGCTCAGCCTTATCTTAGCTCGTTTCTGGCCAGCTCTTTTTACTCAAATTAACCCGTTTCTCTTCATCTACCTTTCTCCTTGAGGCTTTTTCCTCCTTTCTTTCTGCATATCTTACTTTCACTCCTTCTTGTGTCTGGCTTCTGACCCTAGGCCTCTCCCTTTCTTTCTCCCTCATTCTCTTCTTCTTTTCTCCATCTTTTTGAGCCTAGATTTCTCCTCCTATTTATTCTCTCTGCCTGCCAGCCCTGCCTATCCTTTCTCTGCCTACCTATTGACCATTCAGCCCTTTATTAGACCAATCAGTGCCTTAGGCAGGCAAGGTGAAACAAATGGAACACATCTTTACATCATTAAACAAATGCAGCATAAACAAACGTAACACCTTTACACAGTTAAAGTAATATACTCTGCACCATAAACAAATGTAACACATCTTAACCTAGTTAAAATAACATTCCACAACAGTGCCCTTAACTGCTGAGCCATCTCTCCCTCACCAAATTTGAACTTTTTTAGTTTTTGGCATGCTGATGAACATAAAAAGCCCAAGAATTTAGAAGGCTATTAGTATAAAGGAACTCTACAGTATATACATATTTAGTAGAAGAGAGAAGGTAGACTTGAGATGCAGGGAGCCTGAGCCTAAGACCTGTAATTTGAAAACATAGGATAAGTACCTTCTCATTCTTCTTTCATATGTCATCAGGAAAATCCCAAGTATGCTTAGACTTTCTTCAAAATGGTATTTCTACAGATGCTTTCAGACTTTCCAAAACTATTAATAAGAAATCTTAGCCACAGGGTCACAGAACATTTTTCTTTGAAGTTCTTAGACCTAAACCCAGGGCTTTGTGTATGTTAAAAAGTATCAACCACTGAATTATGCTTTCCACCCAGCAATAGGACATGAAAAATACTGTTGACTTAGCAGGTAAAGCTATTTACTACACAAGGCATACAACCTGAGTTCTGTCCCTAGAACTCATGATAGAAGGACAGATTAACACCTGAAAGTTGTCCTCTAACTGCCCCATGAAGGCCACAAGGCCAACAACATCTGCATACACACAATAATAAGTTTTAAAAAAAAAAACTGATGGCCGGGCGGTGGTGGCGCACGCCTTTAATCCCAGCACTCGGGAGGCAGAGGCAGGCGGATCTTTGTGAGTTCGAGGCCAGCCTGGGCTACCAAGTGAGTTCCAGGAAAGGCGCAAAGCTACACAGAGAAACCCTGTCTCGAAAAACCAAAAAAAAAAAAAAAAAAAAACTGAAAGAAAATAAAAATTATACACACATATCCTCCCGAAAAGAAATGGGCTTATCTTTTTAACAAATGGTGGTGGGAAACTGGATTTTCATAGGCAGAGTGAAACCAGGCTCTTATCTAACGGCACAGAAAGCAACTGAAGATTGATAAAGATTGAATGTAAGGCATAGAACTTTGAAACTACTACAGGAAAATATGGTGAAAATGCTTCTAAATATAGACATAGGCCATGATCTCTGAAAAGATCTCCAATAATCCAGAAAATAAAAAGAACTGACAAACATGATCACATTCAATTAAAAAGCTCCTACACAGCAAAGGAAACAATTAGCTGTGAAAAGAAAGCCCACCAAGTAGATGAATTTGTCAGCTATACAACTGATGGGGAATGAATATCTAGAATCTGTAAAAAAAAAAAAAAAAAAAACCAAAAAACTATACAAATTAAAGAAAATAATCCAAGCAATGATTCAACCTATCAGTTTTCAAAAGTAGTACAAGTGGCCAATAAATATATGAAAGACATTCAACCACCCTGGCCATCAGGGAATTGTAAAGTTAAAACTCAATCAAGATTCTACCTCTTTCCAGTCATGAAAAACCAAGAGACAAAAATCCTAGCAAGAATTGTGGGCAGGAGTTGAGTAGACAAGGAACACTTACATAGGTGTGGTAGGGTAAATTAATGCAGCCACTGTGGGAATCAGTCTAGAATTCCCTCAACAAACTGAAAAGAGCACCCCCATCTGATCCACCTCTACCACTCTGGGTTCTAAGACAGCATACTACATACACAGCTGTACATCTGTGGTTATTCTGACACTATTCCCAGTGAGCAAGATACGGCCTCAGCCTATTTATCCATCAACAGGTGAATGGATAAAGAAAATGAGATGGGTCAATGAAATGACTCAGCAGGTAAAAGGACTTGTGCAAGCTTGATCTGCACCCTAGGTCCCAGAGAAGAGAACCGACTCCTCAAAGTTGTCCTCAAACCTCCTCCACACATGCCCTGTGGTACAGGCATACCACCCACCCCACACACCACACACACAAGAATAAAATAAAGAAATAGTGGGGTGTGTGTGTGTGTGTGTGTGTGTGTGTATGTCATTGAAAATAAGAGAGAATGAAATTATAGCATTTGCAGTAAACTGTGTAAAACTGAAGATCACATTAAGTGAAAAAAAGCCAGATTCAGAAACCAAACCCTTTCGTGTTTTCTCACATGTAGAATCTATGTTAAGGAAATATGTATGAGGGGTGAAGTAAAAGTGGGGATACTTGGAATGAGTGGGAGAAGAGACATGAGAGTAATGGGAAGTGGTGAACATGAACACAGAACAAAATGTACACATAGGAAAGTATAAGCCCATGATCTCTATATTAATAAATATATGATAATTAAATTTTTTTAACTAAAAGAAGGAAAATAGGCCTTTGTGGTTACTGGAAAACCACAATATCTATAAAAGGTCAACTAGAGAAGAAAACTTAGAAAGGAGACAAAATGAAAAGGACCTGTAGACCTCAAACTGCTCATGGTCCCACAAACCAACTCCCACCCACCCACAGAGTGCACATTTACATCTAATACAAGGAAAGTAACAAGTCTTGCCTGGAAGAGACGTATTTTTCATACATGTCTTCTCTAGCCTTTTTGGTCTCTTCCAGCTGCACTTGCAGCCTCTCAAGGCGGTCCTCTTCGTGGGCACAGCGGACACTGAGCTCCATGTTTTGGCGATTGAGGTACTCCTTATCCTTCTGCAGGAGGGTGACTGTCTGCTGCAAGGTGGTGACCTATGGAAATTCAGAGACACGCCCACAGCGAGGTGTTACTTCCCAAGGTTGACTTTCACTGTGTGGATCACAGAAACATTCTCCTTTAAAAAGGGAAAACCTTAGCCTTCTTTATGCAAAATTGCTTGCTACGGTTCCCTCTCTTCCTGGTAAGTACATAAAAAGGAGAAAACGATGTCTCCCATAATTTTACCCTGGGCTATTGGTCAGTTAGTATATAATAATCATGAGTGAGTCAACTTGGGAGCTTACCTCTTTTGATAATTCACTTCTTTCTTTAGCCTGAGCGATGTGAGAGGCTTCAAGTATTTCATGTTTTCTTCGAACCTCGAGTACTTCCTGTTCAAGAGCATCACGCTCACTATGAAAATAAATCAAATACACACATAAATACAGAAACCTCTTTCACAGTTGAAAGGGGCAGAGTGGCAAGAAGCTGACCAAAACAGTGGGGCTTTTGTGTGTCTACTTTTCAAATTCCGAAGCGTCAGACCATGTTCAGGCAGTAACTAGGCACATTTAGAGTTAGTGTTACATACATGCGTAAACTACACTAAGCAGTCAATGACACAGTCCTTTCTAAGGTTCAATTTCATTCTTCCCCACTATCGTTTAGGTTTTTGGTGGTGCTGTTGTTGTTGCAGACATGGTCTCACTTAGTCCACACTAGCCAACAGCTCAGAGCAATCCTCCTGGCTTAGCTTTCCCCTGCTGTGATTACAAGCATGAGCCATCTCACAGGGATCCACGCTTACCTTCAAGTTAAAGCTTTTCAACAGTTAAAAAAAAAAAAAGAAGAACTGAAATATAGCTTCAGGCTTTCTTAGGGTCAAAACTCCATCATCATTTTTAACTGGCACTGTTTCCTTCCCACAGTGCTTACGATTACGCCAGGTATTTTAAGTTTCTCCTTCAGACTAGCTCTCTCCCAGAACAGCGAAACTACGAACTGGACCAAACCCTTCAACGGGCATCTTTAAAACCGAGCAGAGCAATACTTTTGCTCCCAACTCCTCTTCCCTAGTCACAACAGCTTGGGACTTGACTCCACGGACTCCTGGACTGCCACAGGAGAATTGTTTTCTTTTCCCTTGCTTTTCAATATGCCACGTAGATGAAAGATACATCCTATTCTCTGACAGATTTTACCTGAGGCTGCAGATTCCCTTGATGATTCAGAATAAAATATGATTAATGAGGCTATAAAGCAGCCATCCTGACATACTCATATGTTTATTAGTTGAAATGGTACTGTTCAGATATTCTTTCCTCATTTAGTGTTAGCACGCCCTTGTAGGTTCGTATTCTATCAATGGGTTATAACTCATAATTGTCAGTATTTATTTTTATACCCAGGTATACTATATTGTATTTAGTTGCCTGGAGGTGCTTCTACTGTGGTGTTAACTGGAACTACAAGTATCAATATAATTTCGTCCAGTGTGTCACGCTCTTCTGGCTTCCCTCTCTCCTGTCCTTGCCAAGGAATAATAGCTGATATAGCAATGATCACAGCCCAAATACTAATTTTGAAATACCACTTCCTGTTACTAGAAATCAGAGCTCTTTAGAGAAAGGGTCAAGGAAACATGATGTTATGCCAGAAGCTGGAGAACTGTTGGAACAAAAGTGACTCCAATGTAAGTTAATGGTTTTAACTGCCACACAGAATTTTACGTAGAAACCAATCTGTTATTCAGAAGCACTTGAATTCTAGAGATAATGTAATATCTCTATGTCTATTAATGCTATATATTTGTGAGAACTTATCAAGAGGCATATCCCCCAGGCTACCTTCTACTTTCATGGCTTGTCCTTCTCTTTTTATTTTGTGTAGTGCTGGTGGCTGAACCCAGGGTCACAGTGCTCCCCCAGTGAGCTACATACAGTACCAGGCTGGGTACTTGAATCAGGACTTTTGTGAGCCCCCACACTCAAGAACTCATCATCTCCCATTTCAGCCTCTCAAATGCCGCCTGTGATTACACATCTGTTGCTACCCACGACAATACATGGCTTGTCAATAATTTGTTTTTAACTTATTCACGAACCCAAGGTTTAGTTGAACCCCCCCCTTTTTTTACTGTCCTATTTTTAACATATGGAAGTGCTTATACTTTTTAATCAGGTTATATTTTTCTTTCTAGATTTTTATTATAAAAAATAGAAACATAAAAAATAGAGAAGCTATAATGAATATCCATGATTCTATTATGCAGCCTTGATAATTATCAACTACAACTTGTTTCATTTACTGATGAATGAGACAGGGAGCTGTGGATTATGCTGATGATTATAATTTTTCTCATTTTATTTACCATTTCTGTAGATTTAGAGAGGAAAATATGAAATCAAAATATCAATTGTAAGTATCATCTTACCATCTCAAACTACTTCATTTTAAAATGCTTCTTAGGGAATAAGTTGGAGGGAAAGGAGGCTCAGTGGGAGTGGGAGGGAGACAACAAGGGCGGTAAGGGGTGAATATGATCAAAATATGTTTTATATACATTTGTGTGTATATGAAAATATCATAACGAAATCCATTATTATGTATTATTAATTATGCTAATAAAAAGTTAATTAAAAATAAAATGTTTCTTTCAAAATTTAGCTTTATTCAGGAGTTCACTGACTATAGCTCTCATAAATTTCAAGATCAAATAATTACCATTAAATAATATTACATTTCACACACCAGCCAAGGTGGGAAATAGAAGCACCAATATATTGGCTAAATCTCTGTAAATTCACTTAAAACATTCTAATATTCATTGACTGACTGCTGAACTTGAATTCTAGCTGTAGCAGATACACCAAATGAACAAGTAAGAAAAATCCACTCTATCTGCAAAGACACAGCACTAACATACTCTAAACTGGTGACAATCATCCTTTGGTTAATCTTTTCGTGTTGTTCTGTTTTCTGAGACACGGCGTCTCTGTGTAGTGCTGGCTGTGCTTGACCTCAACTCTGGACCAGGCTGGCCTTGGACTCTGCCTGCTCTTGTCTTCTGAGTGATGGGATTAAAGGTGTGCACCACAGCCACCTCGTCTCCTTTGGTTAATCTTCACTTAAACTGACATTACATGAAATCCATCAAATAACACTTAGCAAGTATTCACACAAAGCATTTTACAGGGGTCCCATTTCTCTTACATCTGAAAGGGTGGTGGCAACTTCTACAGAAACTAAAGAGCACCAGTAGAAAACCACAGCTGATGCCCACCAAGCTGCATATTTCCACACTGAAGGAGGAAATGGAGAAACGACGACGATGTCGGAGTACAAATTCGGGTGACTGTGGTGAACACTAACAGCGACAATCCCCATGGCCACCTTTACCTCTTGACTTTGTCGTAGTTCTCTTGACGGTAATCACCTTGCTGAACTAACTGTTTGGTGTCTGCCAATTCCAAAGCCAAGCGCTGACATCGAATTTGAAGTTCAGAGTTGCTTTTTCTATCTTCCTCATATGTCTATAAATCAAAGGAAGAATTACTTATTTCAAAATGAACATAGGGGACCAAATTTTGTATTGAATTCTCCTATTATGCTATGAAATGACATAACTAAACTAAAACATATTCAAATTATTTATAATAGTTAGTTAAAGACAGGTCATCTTGAATTCACAAGATTATTTGTAAATTAAATCCAAAACTATTAAATTCTTTCTATGGACTGGTTTGGGCTAGATACTGTACATACAGAGATGAGTAACACAGTTTATTCCCTGTTGAAAACATAAAACACAACACTGGAATAGCAGCCTCCAAATTTCTATCAAGAGCTGGTTGAAAGACATAATTGTGGGAAACCTGCAACCAGTGTTTTGCTTTGGTTGAACATCATGGCCAGGATCCTACACTGGGGTTCTTTGTGAGAATGGAATGCTACTGAGCTCATTATAGGATTTAGATGAGGATGCTGTGTTACTTTCCAGGGATCATCCTGAACATTATTTAATACCTATATCCTAAAAGAAGATTCAGTTCTGCCAAAGAACGCTTCATCTCTAAACACCATTAATCATATCACTGTCTTGGGAGAGGGTGTAGTTCTGTGATTAGGTAGGTAGGTTCCAGATTTTAGTTTCTAGAAGTAAGTAACTTAAATATGACATTTGTCTAAACATCAGTGTTTACCTCATGGAATTCTTGTAAAGATTATATCAAACAATACATGTAAAGTGCTTATAAAATTCACAACACATAATGAGTGTTCATTAACTATACATTAATATGTTTATACTATTTCCTCTTGGCTTTGACTTCCTGAAAGATCACAGGCATTACTGTAGTTTAATAACTGCAAAGACTATGACATAATCCAGAGGAGTATAAACATGAGGAATACAACCATTTAAAGGATGGGCAAAAGATAAGACGTCCAAGGAACCTAAAGGAATATCAAAGAAGCAATGGGTTCACAGATGTGTGAGTCAGAAACAACAGGAAATGGCACTCTAAGGAGACGAAGCAGTAAACAGTATTGAGTTCCTGAGGGAAAAAGCAGCAAAATTCTGTAAGGATTCAATGGTAGGGACAGAAGACAGAGAAGTGGAGACTGAAACAAACATATCTGAGTATTTACTATGGCCTTGCTTTGTGACTTTTTTTTTGTTGTTGTTGTTTTTTGAGACAAGGTCTCATTACATAGTCCTGATTGGCCTGGAATATACTATGTAAACCAGACTAGCCTCTGCTTCCCTACTGCTGGGATCAAAGACATGAGCTGCCACCACCACCACCACCATTATTATTATTATTATTATTATTTTAAGACAAGGTCTCATGTATATCCTATCACTGGCAATGAACTCACTCTTTAGCTAAGGGTGAACCTAAACTTCTGATGCTCCTGAATCCACTTGGATTAGAAGGCATTTACTGTGATGCCCAGTTTGATGCTAGGAACTGAACCCAGGGCTTCCTGCATATTCTACCAACTGAGCTATAGCCCCATCTCATTTTGTGGTATGTTATATACAACAAGGAAGTCTTTTTCTTTTTCTTTAGTGGGTACACAAATGTATCAAAAAGCATTTACTATAGCCCACAGTCTATCGTTTACTATGTTTCATGATGTTATATTACACACTTGGTTGCTGTCCTGGCTAGTTTTTATGCCAACTTGACTCAAATTGGAGTCATCTGAGAGGAGAGATCCTCAATTGAGAAAATGGCTACATAAGGTTGGGTTGTAGGCAAGCCTCTAGGAAATTTTCTTAGTGACTGATGAGGAAGGCCCAGTCCATTTTGGGTGGTGTCATCCCTGGGCTGGTTGTCTTAGGTTCTATAAGAAAGAAGGCTGAGCAAGCCATGGAGAGCAAGCCAGTAAGCAGTACCCTTCCATGGCCTCTGCATCAGCTCCTGCCTTCAGGTTCCTGCCCTGGGTGAGTTCCTGTCCTGATTTCCTTCAATGAAGAACAGTAATGTGGAAGCATAAGCAAACTTAACTCTTTCCCTCCCCAACTTTGGTCATCCTGTTTCTTCACAGCAATAGTAACCCTGACTATTCTTAGACAGTTCTTAAAGGTATGCATTTTCTACGCCTTATGGGCCTCTTCCCAGTAAAACCAGTAAAAACAAACAAATCAGAATGGGTACAGGTATGTGTTTATAGGCTTCCTGACAGAGAAGTCTAAGAATTTTCATCTGAGGATTTCCATTTTCTTTTTGAAATGAAGCACCCAGTGATCTGATAAAAATGAGAACTGAAAAGTTGGAGATATGTAGACAGGGAGGAACAGCTTCCAAGGAAAATGAAAGGACTTGAAAAAAACAGAGCATAAAGGTGCTCCACGGGAGGCTGCTAACGAAGAATTTGAAGTGCTTACTGCTGCTAATGTGATTTTCCTCCAGTAATGCTCAGCTAGACAAACAATGCTGAGGTGCCTCAGGCTCGTTTGATAAAAAGAAAATTAAAATTAAAGGTCATCAACAAGAGACAGATTGAAAACGAATAGCATAGTGAAAAGGAAGAACACACATTTCAGGACTGATTAAATCATATGCATTGGAAATTTTGTTATGATTACAAGCACACAACTGAGAACTGTGGGTGAGTGTTCAGATGAGGCACACATGCAAAGAAGCACACAACTGAGAACTGTGGGTGAGTGTTCAGATGAGGCACACATGCAAAGAAGCACACAACTGAGAACTGTGGGTGAGTGTTCAGATGAGGCACACATGCAAAGAAGCACACAACTGAGAACTGTGGGCGAGTGTTCAGATGAGGCACACATGCAAAGAAAGAAGCAGGTGCTACCGGGAAGGTGGATGTACAAAGGATTAAAAAAAAGAAAAAAAAAAGAAAAAAAGAAAAACATCTACGGACCTTGAGCTAGGGGCGCAGCTCAGGAAAACAGCACATGCCTAGCACATGCAAAGCTCTAGTTTCCACCCACAACACTGAAAATGATCTAAAACAAAAACACAGTGGGAAGGGAGAGAAAAGCATAAATGTCTGGACTGTCACATCTGAATGTGACTCTCAAATATGTGATGTACAGATACCTGTCATGGAGAAGAGTTTGCACACATGTACGCACACGTGTACACACACACACACACACACACACACACACACACACACACACACACACACACTACCAGAAGTCCAGTGTAGAAACACATACTTTATATCAAGAATTTAAGACTTTTCAAGTAAAAAATGTCCCCTTAAATCTATGCAGAGGAGGAGGCAGAAAGATTTGTAAGAGCCAGAGGTGATGGATGACTCTAACAAATCAGTATCTTCCAGACACAACAGGATGTTTGCACATCTGGAGTCAGAGACTGTGCAGCATGCACAGGGCCTGCACAGGTTCAAGCCAGATGGGCTCCCAGCACTGAGATGGGGAGGTGGGATCTCATCCCTAACCAAGAAGCCATCCGTACTTAATACCCACAAGAAAAGGAAATTAGAGTTTTATTCCCATGAAGTCTCACTGGGTCTATTAACCACACTCCAGGGCAGGCTCCATGCTAGGAGTAGATGACCAACAAAAATAAACTCAATAGTATTTTTGTAGACTTTTTGTCTCATTTTGCCTCTTTGGGCATTTTTTAAATATTTTGGTCTTTTGCTTATTTTGAGGTCCATTTTTGTGGGATTTTGTGTATGTGTTTCTTGTTCTTGTTGTTGTTGACTTTTTAAGGGGGGACAAAGTTGGATGGGTAGGCAGTTGGGGAGAATCTGGGAGGAATTGAGGAGGAGAAAAAAATGAACAATATAATGTATGAAATGTTTTTCAATATAGAAAGTTTAAAAAATCTCCCCTTAAAGTTGTAACTCGTGTGCTGTGGGGTAGGGGTCTGCTTTGTTACTCTAGAACCACAGGGAAGAAAGACATGGCTATGTGGGTACAGTTCATGAGCCCAGGCCTTGTGAGGCTGAGGCAGCTGGACTTCAGGGTTCAGATCAGCCTGGCTGATGTGGGTAGACCTCATTTCCACATTAAACAAAGACTAATGCAGAGCACTGGAAAATGGAAAATAGTGTATGGTCTCGAAAATGAACCAAACTTTACGGCTGTAGAATTTTGTGGATAAGGCAAAAAAAAAGGCACTGGACTATTTTGTATCCTCCACTTCTTTCTTCTCTGTCTCATGTGGAAAGATACTGAGCCCCAACTCCTGAGTGAAGATGTCTACTTTATGTTCTCTCACTGTTAGAAAGTGGATTTCATGCTACGAGCTGCCATTCTTTGCCTTCTACAAAATAAGCAAAAGAGTGAGAAAGTTTCTCACAATCCTACTCCTACTACAGAAGGTTTGTAAGTAATGTTTATGGAAAAGAAGAAACAAGACGGGACATCATATAGATTGAAAGAGATGCCGGGTAGTGGTGGCGCGTGCCTTTAATCCTAGCATTCAGGATACAAGAGGTAGACAGATCTTTGTGAGTTCGAGGCCAGCCTGGGCTACAGAATGAGTTCCAGGAAAGGCACAAAGCAACACAGAGAAACCTTGTCTCAGGAAAAAAAGAAAGAAAGAAAGAGATGCAAAAAAAAAAAAAATGTAAATCTTTTCATACATAAAGAAGCAGACCCAAACTTTGCATTTACTACCTCTTTCAAAGTGGAAATTTCTAGATAACAGTAAGTGAATCAGTAGCCAAGCATCAATTTCTCTTTTACTTGAGAAAAGAAGCGCAGTCTGAGGCACCAAAACCGTCCCTGTTGACAGCTCTGTACCTGGAAGAAAACAATGTCTGACTGCTGGGATTAGTGTTATATTCTTTTTCACTTAAGTTGTTTGCTATCTCCTGTAGAAAATATTATATCTGTAATTATAACTGTATGTTTTCTTGTCTTATCTATGACCCTCTCCTTCCCTGTACCCACATAGGACTTTGAGCACCTTAAAGACCCGTCTTACTCTGAATACCCAGGAACCCTAGTCATTGCACTAGAAATATGTAAAGAATAAACCAATTATAAAAGATGGACTCTACAGTTCTAGCATTT